GGACCTTTCGTTCTCATATAACTGCTGGTGGAATTACTGTCCCACTCATTGTGGTACGAAAGAAAATATACTTTTATTTTTTTTGATCGTATTGTGCATAGTGGGAGAGAATGTTCGTGGCATACTTACCTAAATTCTGGATTAGCTATGTTTGAGGAACGATAAGTTTTCGCAAGGTCATTCCGAGGTGTCGTGTCTAATTGTCTTGAACATTTTTGCTGTAACGCAACGATAATTGTTTTAATTTATTGTACCAAGAGTTTGCGTCGGAAGGTGTGTCACCAACCACAATTTTATGCTTGCTGACGGAGGTCATTTAGCCCAAGAATGACGGATACTCCATTCCGAGCTACCATAACATTTTTTAGTGCTGTGATGAGTAGGGTCAAATGATCACAGTTAAAGTAGTGAAAAAAATTGATGCTGTATTTTACTTAATACGTTCGTTTAAGTATGTACTACTGTCGCGATTTTGTAGACTGATCGTGGCATCAACCTAATAAAATTCTGGTAATATGATACTTCTCGTATTGTAATTTGATAGTTATCAGGAGAGTTTATTGGTGTTTTTAAGAAGAAAACTGATTTGTTATGAATTGAGCTGTATCTGATGTACAAGATAAAGGTGGGTTCTTGAGATTGGTAGGAAATGCTCAATGTGCGGTGCTTTTTAAGCAAAAAAGCCATAAAAGTTTTGTTTTTTATGTTTGCTTTGTTTGACTTGAAATCTTGCAGAATATCTTTTCTAATTTCTTCAGTTTTGGCAGTAGTTTAATTTAAAACCCTTTGAGAGCATAATGTTGAGAGAAATGTCGTGCACTTTAAATCGAGCAAATTGCATACAATAAAGTAGAGGAGTGGTAAGTTTCTTCCTTTGTGATAAAACGGCTTATGTCATCCGTATTGATAAGTTGTCATTGAGAATGAAGGTCATTGTTATGAGGAGGAATGTCGTTCAAATAACTTAGCTATTTGAACATTGAAATTTCCAACTGGAGTTTTGGGTTTAGGTGAACAAAAGAGTGATTGATGGTGGCTATTTGAAGAATGGAATTTTTAACTAAAATTGCTGAGTTTAAATGAAGAAGCGAATGATTGATGGTGGATAAGTGTTCAGTCACTATACTGAAACGGGTGCAAGCCAAACGGAACAGAAACAAAAACGAGGAACAGGGTTTAGGAGGCAGGCAACCTGCGGGTCATTGCTAAACAGACGGTCACTCTGTTGACCGGTGGTTAGTTATATTATACATTATTTGGTCGTCACCGGTACATTTTTCCGTTATTGTTCTAGGTCTTTCGAAGGATTTTTTTTTGTCCTTGCTACTTTTTTCTTGTTTCTCTTTCTATTTTTCTCATTATTTGTGTTTTTGGAGTGTAATGAAATCTGTATACATCAGCTGTCGGCTTTATCAGTTTATTTTTATCTGCTTCTTTGGTTTAATTTTCAAGGCAGTGTTAGCCAAACGTTCGTTTCGGCAAATTGGTTTAAGTTTGCTAGCGGATAGCGGTTCTCAGAGTCATTTGTAGCATAACTTCAGTTCACATTTGTTCAAAGGAAGAAAGTTTATTGTTCTAAAAGCGCTTTATTGAACATCTGTGGCGAAAAATTTTTTTAGTTCATGAAGCATGGTTTTCAGCTTTATTACTGCTGTTATCTTAAATCGGTACAACTGCTCCTCTGAAGTTAAAAAAATTTTGCTTTCTTATGTTATTCGTTACTTTGCTACATTACATTATTTGCAACATTATTTGTAACACTGTGATTACTTAAGTACGTCACTTTTAAAAATTTCAGGCTTTTATTCAGCAACTAAATAACTCGTTATTTTATGTCTTTCTCCACCGGTTGTACAGTGCTTTTAGTGCTGGTAACTCAGACTACATTTGTGACCGGTAAATGGTTTAGAAATGAACTTTTTCCTTTGCTACTCTACTTTTTTTTTTTGTTTTTGTGATTGAATAAAAGCAAATTTTGTGCTGGTTTTCAAAATTTTTACTCTGAAAATATAAGAAACCCCTTGACCAGAATAGCCTTTTATAATCTGCTAACGTTGACTGCTCTGGCAATAAACATTCACCTGTAAAACGCTGAAACCAAAACCATGAGGGTCCGATTTTCTTTTCTAGAGGATATTTTGACCAATTTTAACAGTTAATTACTGGCATTAATTTAACCTCACTTTTCCATTTAAATCCACAACTATTATCCTTGAAAGCAATGCATAGCGACCAATTTCCTTATATTGACAGTCGTTTAAATAAGTCAATAATACATTATTGAAAGAGTAAATGCTGACAGAGTTCCCCAATCCTTGTTTAATTAACATTTGAAAATGCCATTAATTTTTTTCTCTTGAAATTCTTCGCACTTATAACCGTCTCAAAATAATACTTCGAGGATCCCTCTTTGATGCTCACCACAACGTCCATTGCGGTAAGATTTGGTGTAAAATCTGAAGGATGAAATATAAAAAGAATCCGTGTTGATTGAATGATAATAAAAGCCCTATTACAAACAGTACTCTCTCCTAGCACTTGTGCTTTTTCTTGTTACAAGTAATTTACTGCAATAGAAAACCTCAAAATAAAAATGTTTTTGGCTCGAATAGTAACGGTTCCGTTTTTATGCTTTAATTGCTTCTACTGCGCATCGTATGCCCATTATTTGGCCCCAGGAATTCGACAACATCTCGCTTCTCATACCGACGTCTTCCACTGGCCAAAAGCTTCATCACCAAATTGCTCAAACTTGCCTGCCGATAACCGTTCAATTGAGTCACAAACTTGCACCAAACACCACTTATGTGTTACCATTTCTCCAAATATTCGCAGTAAGCTGAACAATTGTATATCCCGTAACAAGGTTTTCTAAATTGGAAAGCCTCAAAATCTCTCACTATCATGTTGCTTTAACTTAAAAATTTTATTGTTAAACACAATACGTGCAAAAGAGTAATTCATTTGAGATTTTAATTTACTAAGTGTCACTTAGATGGACGAATGTTAACCACAGTGCTCGACAAAAAATTCATCTTATCAAGCCTTCCCTTTCAGATGTTTCTTTCGTTGTGCGAGGATGTCTCGAACAAACCTTAGTATCTCGTTTACGATTAAACGAGAAGTTTCAACATAAAGGGTAAGTCTTGCTGACGGCTGAACTTCAGCTTCAAAAAATTCTTTCATCTTTTTTTCGGCTTATTTGAGAGGAGAATTTCTGCAGCACGGTATACCAGTAGTGATTAATCTGATGGAAATTTCTGCTTTTTTTTTTCTTGCTTAGCTATCGATCTTTTTTGAATGTAAAAAGATAAAATAATACTTTGATCCTTACTTGTTAAGCATATAATTCAGTGCTCTCCAGAAGTCGTTTTTTTCTTTACTATCATGATCATTGTAAAAGTGCCACATTAAGCATTTCTGTACTTCGGGTACTGTTATGCTTTTGTCGTTTAGATGTCATTTGGTATCGTCAACACGGGAATTACCTATGGATTACATAGTGTGTGTTTGCGAAGGAAACTACTGCAATAACCAAAAGCAGCACCCATTTATAAGGCCAAAATCCTTATACACAGTTCTGACAAATGGTCTGTCATTTAAATTCTTAAAATCTTATAGTCTTGAAAACCAGTTGATTGATGGCCTGTCATAGTGATGTAACGTCCTATTATTCCGGGCATTAAAAAATCTTAAATACTGGGAAATTAAGCGCCTGACAAATTCGTGTATTTTTAGTTTTATCATCATCCTTAGTATTGTTTGTGCTTTCCATAGTTTCACCCTCCTCCCCCTTCTAGCTTAAACCTTTTGATTAGCTACTCCTACTTTAAACACGTTAACTGAAAGCAATTTTCCCTTTTTTTTTTCAAACTCGTGTTTCACCTTTTGTAGGGAGTCAAAGCAACAAGATATTTAAATTCAGAAAAAATGAAGGAAAAGGAAAAGCTACTTAGCAGTAGCTCTAAAGGTTAAATTAGCTGAAGCGAAGCAAACACAAAACTGCATGAACAAAAATCCTTAAAGTGCAGTAGTGGCGCAGTCACTTTGTCCTCACTAAAATATTTCTTTAAACCCAAGTTTCTGGACCAATACCACTGCCTTGATGTAACCACCCATACTTCCTTCACTTATCTCGGTTCAACCCGCACATGACACTCAAATCTAGAAAACGAAAAAGACGAGACGCAATAACTCGGCAAAGTGCAAGTAGACTGTCATAGTTCTAACCAAGTTCTGTTCTCGTGTCTGCTTAATTTCCTTTCCTGGCTTTCTAACAGATAATTTGCAAAAAAAGCCCCTTCCGGTGCTAGCTAACATTACCGAAAAGTTCAACTTCTGAAATAACTTTATCTCCTCGACTCATAGCTAAGCGACCACACAACAATAATTTTACCTCCTTCCACCCCCAGTTTATAAGCACTTCTAAATCATTCCCACTCTGCTCGCGTCATTTTTCTTACAACCGATAGGCTACAGCCTAACAAATTTTCCAACGCTCTCAGTCCGTGACAAATCAGTCCAATCATTTGTATTTAGCAGCTCATTAATGCTACTTATCTAGTAACTCACTTAACAGTCACCTCTTTTGAATATCTAACTCTAGTAAACATAAATAAGTTTTTAATTTCAGGGTCAACATCCTCAAAGAAGATATGGAGCAGTGCAAAGTCGACTGCTATTTAAAAACAAATGGTTCAAATTAAAAAATAAACTGCAGATTCTAAA